TTTTATCTATCCAAGAGTTGTGTGTCGCATCAAATCCCAGCCTTTTCACATAAACCTTGTCACCCTTTTTGCGTATCACTTTTTCCACGAGATGTACGTCGGGATTAGCAACGCGTTGTAACTCGTATTCGTAAAATCTGCCGGCGACGGGATTTCCGCGCGAATCTTTGAGTACGTAAGTCACGGTCGATGAAAACAAAAAAAAATCATCGATGAAGAAAAAGACTGCGAAAAAACGAATACTTCCTATAGCGGAGGTATTTTACCCATTTTACTATTATTGGGAGTTCTCGGTTCATTGGCTGGCGGAGCAGCGGAAATCGCGAAGGTGGTGAACGATAGCAAGGCGGCGCAACGTCAGCTCGAAGAAATGCAGCGTCATAATCGCGCCATGGAAGGTCAGGGACTTTATCTCGCTCCATACAAGCGCGGACGAGAATTCTCAACAGTAGCCAAGAAAAAAAAATCTCTTAATAGAGCCGATACTGAGCATTATCAGTCAGAGAGTGAACTTGCCTCGCAGTCCTAACAAAGTGAGATGGATTGGGACTCTCAGGAAGATGCGCGATCAGTTGCGTCAACAGCAACTTCCGTATTAGGTAAGAGGAAGATGCAAGTTGCATCCCAAGAGGAAGACATGGAGGAAACTAAAAGTCTACCTCGTAAAAGTAAGAGAGTAGCAACACAAAAGATTAAGGATAGCATATACAAGGAAGCTATTTCTAAGGAATCTACATCTACGGGGAATATAGACACAGGACATATAACTATGGGAGATATGTACAATGATCCTAAAATTAAAGAGGCTATACATAATGAGGCGCTAGCTAAGGGTGCAGCGTGTAAAGTCATCATGGAAAAAGCCCGAAGGAAGGCCCTGCCGTTGGAATCGGATGACACCACGTGTACATTGACCTGCTCAGAAGCAGAAAGTAGGAAGGACAATAGAAGTAAAAAGAAGAAGGATAAGGTTAAAACTAAGTGGAGGTCTGGCCCCACTATTGAGTCTCAGCTTAGAGAAGTCCCTGCGACACTGGATAAATTAACTAAAATCGTCCGTAATAGAATGGCTAGATGATATTAACATTATAAGAGTAGGCACATCCATGCAAGGTGGATTAGGCAGCCACGTCAAGAGAAAGTTGAATGTCATAAAGCAGGTAGATAGAATAATGGCGGAGAAGATAGAGGACGTAGGTGATCCAAATTTCCTTCGTCGTAAAAACGCAGAGTTAAACGCAGAGCTTAGATTAGCCAGGAGAGAAACAGCACAACTTAAGCGAGACGTTGCAGATCTTAAAAGAATAGTTGAGGATATGAAAGCTAAAGTCAGCTCAAAAGAAACTCCTCCTAGGATTTTCACATCGGATAAGGCTTCATCACCAATGTTAATGGCTGCACCTAGAAGAGGTAACTCTGTAATGAGAATACAGGAACAGGAAATGCAAGAAGTTGTGATGAGACCTGCGCTGGGTGGTGTTAGAATTCCCATCCCGGACAGACAGCCTATGCTAACTGCTAAGGCACAGGAGGATGCGATCAGTGCGCAAATTGACGCGTTAAAAGCGAAGCGCAAGGAAATTAGGCAAGGCAGACAGGAAGATAAACCTATAGAAGGTTGAACCTATAGAACAAGGTCTCCCTCAGAGAGTCCCTAGGAAGCTCCGTGTTGTGAGCAATATACAGCTAGTCCCGCCTAAAGGAGAGGTTATTGATAGTATCCCAGATAATCAAAATGCTGCAACATCAAAGTCAGCAATTAACACGCAGGAAGGAAGCGACTGAGAAAAAGTTCGTTCCAGGAAAGAGAAAATAAAGGAAAAGAGAAAGGCTAAGCAGCTAGACGCTCCGAAAGGCAAAGTCTCTTCACAGTCCAGGTCGAAGTCTCTTAATAGATCGGTGGAGCGTAAGAAGAGAAAAGGACACGGAGGGCTCCCAAAACGGCGGCAGTGGTAATTAAATGCTCAAGTGATGGTCTGACATATGCAGAAGCCATACAACGGGTGAGAACTAAAGTATCTTTTCCGGATCTTAAGATTGTAGGCACGAAGATCAGGCATACGGCGAATGGAGGCGTATTGATCGAGGTTCCTGGTCCAGATGGTAGCGAAAAAGCAGATGCATTAAGGAGAAAGGTGCAAGAAGCCCTTGGAGATAAAGCGGTCGTCACCCGTCCAGTGATAAAGGGCGAGCTTAGAATTGTTGGCATGGATGATTCTATTACGGCCCAGGAGGTAGTTGAAGTCATTGCAATGGAAGGTGGATGCCTCCCAGAGGATGTAAAGGTAGGCCCAATCAGGCCTATAAGGAATGGTCTTTACACAGTGTGGATTCAATGTCCGCTTGCGGCTGCTATTCGTGCATCAACGGGCAATAAGATCCGTATCGGTTGGACGATCGCGAGGATTGAATTATTGAAGGCTAGGCCAATTCAGTGCTATAGATGTTGGGAGCAAGGCCACTTGATGAGTTCCTGTAAATCGGCAATAGATCGCTCTGGTATGTGCTATCGTTGTGGTAAAACGGGGCATTCCGTGCGCTCGTGCACTTCGGAGTTCAATTGTGCAATATGCTCGTCACAGGGAAAAGATTCTAAACATAGAGTAGGATCTAATCTTTGTAAACCGGATGTAGGCTCTAAGTCGGTTAGTAAGGAAACGGCGCGGAGGGCCGAAGCCATGGAGACGGATAATGGTTAGAATATTACAGTGTAATTTAAACCGTAGTTGGAGGGCGTTTGATATCCTTACCCAATATGCCCTAGAGATGAAGATAGGTATTTGTGCAATTTCGGAGCCGCAGCGCGTTCCGGATGATAACCCGCATTGGTTCTGTAGCAAAGACGGTTTAGCGGCTGTTTTCTGGCGGCCATCGGCGATTGACTGTGCAGGCTCATTAATAGTAAGTGGTAAAAAATATGTTGCGGTCAGGTTTAGGAATTTAAACGTAATATCTTGCTATATTTCTCCCAATTCTACGCGAGGAGAATTCCTTATGTTTTTGGATGAATTGGGTGATGTAGTTAGAAAGATTAGCAATAAAATAGTAATTTGTGGGGATTTTAATTCCAAATCTACCCTGTGGGGTTCGTTAAAAACCAATGAATGGGGGGATCTGATAGAGGAGTGGGCTGCGGAAACAGATATGAGGCTAGTTAATTTAGGAGTGAGCCCCACATGCATCAGGCCACAAGATACGTCTATTATTGACCTTACCTGGGTCTCAGCAGACTTAACGAGGTAAATAATTGGAAGGTATTGGGTGATATAGAGACCCTGTTGGATCATGCGTACTTGCTGCTAGAGATCTGTAGACCGTCGGTAAAGTTGTCTAAGACGCGTGTAGGATACCCTCGCTGAAACTGGAAAAAGTCGAACATCGATAAGTTTGTGGCGTCTTTCCTATGGAGATGTACAGAGGATACACATATTAAGGAGAATACTCCAGCACTGGAATATGAGGAATGGATTAGCAAAGCGTTAGTTGAAGCCTGTGATCTAACGGCACCGAGATCTAAACCTATAGCTGGTAGGAAACAAGTTTACTGGTGGGCAGACACGATTGCAGAGCTTAGGAGAGAGTCAGTTAGGAAGCGTAGGGCCTGGATGAGGTATAGACGTAGGAAACACCCTCAGGCAGAAGAGTTGGCTAGATCTGAAACAGAATATAGATTGGCTAAGAAGAATTTAAGGCTCGAAATTAATAAAGCTAAGTCTAATGCGTGGAGTGAATTGATCGCTACAATTGAGAAGGATCCCTGGGGACTCCCGTATAAGCTTGTAATGAGACGTCTTAGGAGTTCCACCCCAAGCATCACAGAATCCCTAGATGAAAATTCTTTAAAGTCACTGTTGAAGTCATTATTCCCTGATGCGGAGCCAGTTGTACCGTGCAACTGGGAGGAATTCCAATGGAATGAGGAGATGGAAGTTACCCCTGCGGAAGTTCATCAAGTGCTAAAGAGAAGTGGAATTAGTAATACAGCACCGGGCCCGGATGGTATAACGGCCACTATATTAAAAGCACTTCCAAGCGAGATGATAATAAAGATGGCGGAATGTTTCACATCTTGCCTTAGAGAGGGAGTTTTCCCCGCTCAATGAAAAAGAGCGATTTTAGTGCTCATTCCGAAAGGAGGAGAGGTTTTGTCCGGTATTCCTAAAGCGCGGCCCATATGCCTGTTAAGTGAGGTAGGAAAGGCATTCGAGCGGATTCTAGCAAATAGGATTAAGGATTGGTTAAGAGAAAACCCTAGTGCGCAGCTCTCAGAGAACCAATACGGGTTCGGAGAAAACAGGTCAACGTGCGATGCGCTTATTAGAGTTAAGAAGGCGGTTAAAGATGCGACAAGGGTAGGAGGGGTAGTTATCGCGGTTAGTCTCGATATTAAAAACGCATTCAACTCCATCTCTTGGCGCATCATCAAGCGTGCGCTAATTGCTAAGGAATTTCCAGATTATTTACAGAGGATCATAGATAACTATTTATACGATAGGAGAATCAAGAAGGCGGAAGAAATAGATCTAGAGCAATGGTAGCAGGGGTCCCACAGGGATCGGTCCTGGGCCCCATCCTGTGGAATATTGCTTATAATAATGTTCTGCAGGAGGGGTCTGAGTATGGATGTCAGACTTTGTGCTATGCTGATGACACCTTAATATTAGCAGTAGGAGATACATTGAATCGCGCGGTATCAAGAACGAATTTACAGATAGGCTTGATCCTTAATAGGATCAAGAGATTAGGTCTTAGTGTCAGCTAGTAAGACTGAGATTGTTTTGTTCCATGGAAGTCTGAATAAACCACAAGATTATCCGTACGTTAGAGTAGAAAATGAATGGATCCAGGCGAAACCTTTTATGAAGTACCTTGGAATAATGGTAGATAGCAGATTGTCCTTTATAGATCATTTTAATTATCTAGGCGAAAAAACTGCAAAGGTAGTTAGGGCGTTGGGTAGACTTATGCCTAACTTGCGGGGATCTGGCGAGTGCAAAAGGAGATTATACGCAAATGTAGTGCTGTCGGTGCTGCTGTATGGGGCTTCACTCTGGAGTGATGCATTATCCGCCTCCTGCAAGATTCAGACATTAGTCGATAGACTACAGAGAACTTTAGCTATCAGGGTAATTTCTGGTTATCGCACGGTCTCTTTGGACGCAGCAAACTTGTTAGCTAGAATTCCGCCGTTGCACCTTCTAGCGAGAGCAAGGAAAAGATCATATGAACGTGTACGGGATTTAGTAGCGGTCGGTTTATGGTCTGAAAAAAGAGAGGTCGACATCAAGAGAGAGGAAGAATTACTTATGCGAAGACAGTGGGAACTATATCTAGACGGCCCTGGTCTGTACGGTAGTAGGACCAGGGAGGCGATACTTCCCAACTTTAATCAATGGTTAGATAGAGGGTGGGGAAGTATGGCCTTTAGACTGACGCAACTTCTAACAGGGCATGGATGCTTTGGAACGTATCTTTTCAGAATAGGTAAAGTAGAATCTGCGATATGCGAGCATTGTACGGATAAAACAGAGGACTCAACGGAACATACTTGGCAGGAGTGCTCTGCTTGGAACTCTGAAAGGGATGCCCTCAAAAGAGAGATAGGAGATAATCTCACACTCGAGGCCGTGATCGCTGCGATGTGTTACTGTAAGGAGGCGTGGGTGGCAGTAATTAGATTCGCGGAGGGTGTAATGCTCACCAAAGAGATTTTGGAGAGGGAACGTCAAATGCAGGAAGCGTTAGCGAACTCTTCCGTTAGTGAAGCTGCATCAGATTAGCTCTATTTTAGTTCTATTATTAGTTCTAGTTTAGTTTAGTTTAATCATTCATTTATTATATGCAGGTGTAAATAGTAGTATTGCTTCACCTTCTGGACATAAATTCCTCCTTCAGGGGAGTCCAGGAGTGGGCTTAATTTAATTTATTTTAATTTCGGTAGTTCTAAGTAATGTTAGATTTAGTGATTATCGGTTATTGGATCCTCACTGGCTAATGGATATCAGCCTGGGGAATCATAATTGGTATATGGATAATTTATTCTCATAGAATAATCTTGCGTCCGTAGCAAACAAATTAGGTAGTTAGTTATTGGAGAATGGCACTGAAAACAGTGCGAGCTATGAGCTGGGCGGGTGGAGTTGTTATGTGTTAACAGTTCCCACGCGCTCAGTTCTTAGTAGCAGGCTGATGAATTCGCATCAGCCGGGGGGGGGGGGTTAGGGGGTAGTTTCTGCGGCATATTG